AGGGCTCAGGGATGCTGTGGCTTGGGAGTGAGAGGCAATGGCATTTGGGCAGGGGCAGGGAACCAGCATATCAGGGTTGCACACCACCACAAAGCACTAGTGCTGTGTGAAGCTTCAATCCCTGATTTGATTCAGTGGAGATTCGGCTTAATTTGGTGGCCAAATCTCCAAATCAAATCAGAGGACCCTTTAATCTTTGTGAATCAAATTGGAACCCTCCAAATCAATTCAGAGAGATTCAGAAAGATTCTGAGATTCAGACATAGACACAACCTTAAATGTTTTTTCTACATACCCCTAGGTAGCAGGTGGCTCGTGAACACTGTGATGCTGGGGTGCATGGAGTGTCCCACAGAAGTGTGGAGGGCTTCCCAGTGCGCTCGGCAGCAGACCCAGAAGTGGACCAGAAGCACTTCCAGTTCATTTCCAGGTCTGCTGGAGAGCATGCAGGAGGGCCCCCCATGTCCCCCCAGCTCAGCGACTGGTGCCTGCTGGGCCAGGGAGGCACCTGGGGTCCACCCGTGGCTGATTTCCGAGCCAGGGAGGTGCAGAGGGGGCCCCTGCACACTCCCCAGTGGACCCAGAAGTGGACCAGAAGTACTTCTGGTCCACTTCTGAGTTTGTTGCCAAGCACGGGGGGGCCCCTGTGCTCCTGTGGGACGCTTCATCTCCCCCAGCATCGCAGCATTCACAAGCCATACCTGGTACCTTGAGGTATGCAGAAAGAACATTTAAAGCTATGTCTATGTCTGAATCACTGATTTTCCGAATTAGCATCGAATCTTCAGATTCGGATTCAGCCAAATTGAATCAGGGACAGTGACCCAAATCAACGAATTGAATCACTGTCCCCAATTCAGGCCAAATCTGAATTGAATAGGGCCCATTTTGCACACGCCTATAAAGCACCAGGGGGAACAACTACAGCTGGACCTGCATCCTGGTGAGTGAAGGGGACAGGGGGAGCTCTGATTTTCCATGATAAAACACCCAAAATCAAACACCAAGATATATAGTTATTTAGAATGTATTTTCTTATAATGATTGAGGCACTGGTAGGCTTCCAAATTGCTTTATATATCAATAAAACATTGTGTTAAATTGATACCTATATGTAGGGTGGTGTTTCATTTTAATGGCAGAAAAACATGGATTTGTTGTTCTTAATTAGTGAATTTGGGGGTGGGGGTTTAACAGAGAATTTGCAGTTTTTAAATAGAGAGAACCAGGATCCCTGGCGATCATGCAAGGCCAGATAGAAGAAAACATGTTAAGGGGTGTGTGATTCAGCAATATGCAAGTTGCTCTAGAAGGGAGCAAGTGCTAGGTTCAAGTCTGGACTTGCTCACAGTGGGGCAGAAACTTTTCTGTTATTCTCCATTCATTTTATGCAATTAATATTAAATACAAAGTGGGGAGACATAGTTTGAAAAGGAAGGTTAGAGACTGCCTAGCCTAGCCTGTGGCTCAGAGAGACAATTCCAAACCTGAGAGCAAAGCCTAAAACCTGGGTCTCATGCTGCCTGTGTAAGTGCCCAAACCACTCAACTGTCATAGCTAAAGCACAGGAAGGTTCTCCCTCCACTTCTCCCCCCTCCCCTCCCAGCCCCATGCCCCTGGACTCATGCTCAGGTACACACAGGCTAGGGACAGAAGTTACACATAAAGTGGTTTAAGTGATCAGAAACTGGTTTAAACCTGTAATAGACAGAAGCTCAGTGCACACAAACCAGTTTCAAAATGGCTGAAACTGGTTTAAGATAAACCTGGTTGAATGGAGTATCAGACTTAACTGATTTAGGTCAAACCAGTTTATGAAACTTCTGTCCCAGATCCCTTCCTGGTTCAAGTTAAATCAGAGTCCCCCAGCATGCCAGCATGGTTTGCAGCCCTTGGCTGGGCTACGCTGTCTGCTCCAGAGAGCAGGGATGGCCCTGCCCCTCTGCTCCCTAGCTAGAGAAGTGAGGGTTGGCTGACAAGGGGGATAGGGGGCAGGCAAGCCAAGCTGGGGATGCAGCCCAATCTATAGGGGGAACTGCCTGCCCCCTCACCCCCACCACCAGGCAAATGATGGCTGGTGTCTGGGGTCGGGGAGGGGGGTTAAACACCCCTTCCCCCCCTCAAACTTACTTCTAGCTGCAACTACAAATCCCAAAGCCATCTGCAAGCAGGAAAAGGAAGTGATGAGCAACCCTGCAGAGTGCTGGTGCTGTAATTTTGGACTGCAAATCCCAGAGACCTTGGGGGCAGCAGGAAGAAGAAGCGAACACACAGCCTGTGCTGGCTGTGCACCAGAGAGGTGTGCTTTAGCGCCCCCTGGCTTCTGGCCTAAGCCACTGCAGGCATGTGGCTACATTTCCTGAATCAAAGGTAAATGTCATTTCTGTTTGGATTTTAAAAGGTGCAGCTTGGACTAACCTGCAAAGGCTGAATTGATTCAGCCTCAGGCTTTTTGACTGTCTGTACTTAGCCACATACATAGTACAGCTTGCTACACATTCTTAGTAGATGTGTGGATATGTATTCACCCATAGTGCATGGGTAATAGAACCACAAATTATTTATTTGTGCAAAAAATGCTACTTACATGGCTAGAAAACTGCTTTTGGGGTGCGTAATGGGTAATGGAATTCTGCCATGATGTCTAGCTGCAGGATATGAAATGTTTGCAAGGAGCAAATTTTGTTTAAGATTTTAGATGTCTCTTAATGAAAAGCACAGGAGTCTTTAAACTAAAGACTGGGGACTTCCTGTTTTGCTTTTGCCATGTCAATCAGTAAGGTACCAAAGGTTGAGAACCACTGCTATAGATGGCTTTTAGTCAGTGTGATTTAAAACAAGAAACTTCATTTTAAATTATCTGTTTGAATCTTATTTTGCATGTATACAATTTAGTAATTTATACATATAATTTATCCTATATCTGAATTTAAGCAGTCATGTGGCTTAACATACATTTATTCAGATTCTTTAGTTCTTACATGTTTATTAGGTTAGAAAATGATAAATGACACATTTCTTATTTACTGCATGATTACTTTTTATGCATGATTTGGGTCTATCTGCATTTGGACGGAAAGTAAAATCTAATTAAAAATGCACATTTTTAAATTATTTGTTTTTCATTACTTAAATACAGCTACTTTAAATATACTGGATGCATAAGAAAAAATAAGTTGATCAAAATGGTTTTTGCATTTAAAATTAGCTGATTTATTAAACAAAGGTAGAATTATCTGTAGTCAGTGAATTGAATAGTTTCTGATCACCATATCCTTCAAGATTTCAAAGCTAGTAGGTCT